TGCTCCAGCTTTGTTGGGGGGTTATTTTATATGCTAGTTGAGCAGCAGCAGTATGTCTTAAATGCTCACAGCGGGTTCCTGTACTGGCTTGCAGCAGCAGCAGCAGCAGCAATAATCTACAAATACAGCAATAACCAACAGCAGCAGCAATTCAGCAGCAGCGTAGCAGATCTATTCCGCCAAGACCAAATACATTAACATTGTCATATCCATTACCATGCTAAAATCTTCCGAGAGTTCCTATGATAGAAATACCAAGTTCTGTCATAAAACTCTAGATGGCACAGGCTATGGGTCCTTAACAGATGATATTCTTAGCACTAAACGACTTGTCAGAAGCTGATTTGTTCCCGTTGCATAAGCAGCCAATGAGCTTGCTGCGTTACATTTAAATGGCTGATTAGCATTTGCTTGACCATTGCAGCACACTTTCAGAGTTCCTCTGAAACACTCCACCTTCCCCAGCTCCACCTGTATAGATCTGCTATGGGTTATTTTATACACGATTTGTGCAGCGGCAATATGTCTTAAATACTCACAGCACCATATCGGCTTATGTATTGGCAGCAGAAATTCAGCAGCAGCAGCAGCATAGCAGAACTATTCCGCCAAGACCAAATACATTAACATTGTCATATCCATTACCATGCTAAAATCTTCCGAGTGTTATCATGATAGAACTATCATTATGGTGACATTCCTTATGAGTTATGGGTTTTATACTGTACAAACTATATTCTATCCCCCTACTCCTAAACTTACCCTTATGAAAAAAAGTATTGTACTAAGACAAGTGAACATATGCTGAAATGTTTGAAAAAAATTTTACTTTTGATGATCTGTAGTGACATCAGTACTAAGAGTTTTGAAAATGTAACAGTTGCTTGTGAAAAAAGCTTTTAAAAAATTATTTTAAAAAACTGTATATGCTAATGTATTCAGCAGCAGCAGCAGCGTAGCAGAACTATTCCGCCAAGACCAAATACATTAACATTGTCATATCCATTACCATGCTAAAATCTTCCGAGTGTTATCATGATAGAACTATCATTATGGTGACATTCCTTATGAGTTATGGGTTTTATACTGTACAAACTATATTCTATCCCCCTACTCCTAAACTTACCCTTATGAAAAAAAGTATTGTACTAAGACAAGTGAACATATGCTGAAATGTTTGAAAAAAAATTTACTTTTGATGATCTGTAGTGACATCAGTACTAAGAGTTTTGAAAATGTAACAGTTGCTTGTGAAAAAAGCTTTTAAAAAATTATTTTAAAAAACTGTATATGCTAATGTATGATCCTCAATCGTTTAGTGTATGATGGCCAGTTTTTCCTCTGTAACTATTACAAAGTCGGTAAGTGTATGATGCCTAGCATTTTAAAATCTGTTCAGATTTTAAAAGCCATGTAGTGTATTCCAGCCTAAAGAGACATCACTGACAGAGGTTCTCTATGCCACAGCATACATACCCTACTAATTGATGATAAATTTCACCAGCTGAATATTCATTTTAAACTCTTCAGCATTTTGAGATACTACTTTCTGGTCCGAGAGAGGTGTTTGAAGGGAAAGGTTCAAATACTGGTGATTGAGAGTAGGGCTGCACAATTAATCGAATTTCTAATTGCGATTACAATTATGGATGCCACAATTACGCAATCTTTCAAAGCAGCAATTAATTGTTGAAAGTCCACTTATGTTATTCTGCATGCTTAAGATGCGTTTTTTTCTTTCTACATGTTATCTTATTCCCATTATTTTAATTTTAGTTTTAGTATAACATTATAATACCATTCATATTTTTTTCTTTTTTTATCATTTAAAGAAGAAACCAATCCGATGTATAGTTGACATTTGAGGCTTAATACTATAGAAAAGCACTAAAAGTTTTTCAGTTAGTGTGTTTTTAGCTTGTTTATTTTCATATAAAAATACGTCATGCATTTGCATCAAACAATGGTATAAACATCATTCAATGTAAATTGTGATAATCATAATTAATAATCGCAATTACAATTTCAAGGGAATAATCGACAATTATGATTTTTGTCATAATCGTGCAGCCCTAATTGAGAGCAAAACGTGACCCACAAAACCTCATGTCATACATGTATGACCGATGTGACAACTAATTGTCATCTGTGCGTCCATTCAGACAGCATATCAACCAAACTTGCTCCTTAAATTTGAAAACTTCTCTCAACACAGCAAGACTTGTTTCTGCCTACACAAACACTGAGGACTTTTGACAGGAAATCAAAAACCGTGGCATGTCAATTAAAGAAAAAGGAATTTAATGACGCTTCTGTTAATCATTCATAAAAAGTACCAAGATTCTGTATGCATCTGAGACATTACAATACTAATTACAAGTTCAATTTTAAACTGGAATGATGACAGTGAATAAAAATATCCAAAAAGATTAATTCTGCAATGAATTCTGCAATGAACATGATTAATATACAAAAGTGTACGGTCTTTTTGTTTGTTTGTTTTTTACTTGACAATCACAGACTTGCATAAACACAATTTGTACACCGTCTTCATGATATATCAAAACAAAAGTGGAATCATGAAATGGCTTAGTGTGATAATCAAATAACAAAGGCTGCAATATGCGTAGATCTCAGAGCAGCTCAGTTTATAGTAAAAGCTGCTTATGAACTCCATTTATGCATGAGCTGTGAGTTTGGGACACTTATAATGTGCATTTATGCAGCACTTAGCCAGATTTGTACTGAGAAGCATTTATTAACCTGTTGCCTACAAAGGAGAAGGACTCTCTGTGGTTTTCAAAATAAAAGCTTAATGGATTAGCATTTGAATATTAAGAAATTAAGACATAAACATTAGTATTGCAATTGTACAGTTGTACTATATAATAAAATCATTATTATTATTTTATTAAACAGTTCATAAATTATCGGAAAGTAGAAATTATTTAAAATGTGTGAATAATATATTTTTTTAAATATGTGAATTGTTGTTCATTGCGATTTCAAAAATAAAAAAATGTAAATAAAATAAAAGACTTACTATTGATACTTTATTCATCCAAATATTAATAAAAAAAAAAAAAGGTTACTTAATTGCCCAAATAATTGGTCGATTGCCAAAATAAATGACTGCTTAAACCAGGGGTGCCCAAACTCGGTCCTAGAGGGCCGGTGTCCTGCAGAGTTTAGCTCCAACCCCAATTAAACACACCTGAACCAGCTAATCAAGCACTTATAGGCATACTAGAAACTTACCAGCAGGTGTGTTGAGGCAAGATGGAGCTAAACTCTGCAGGACACCGGCCCTCCAGGACCGAGTTTGGGCACCCCTGGCTTAAGCTATTCCAAGATTTCCATTACAAAAATTGTAGCTTGTCACTGGGGCAGCACCCTTTGTGCCCCTTCTACTTCTAAAGGGTGCATATTAGTACCTTAAGTTAAGGGATAGTCAACCAAAAATGTTAGTATAATTTACTCACCCTGACGTCGTTCCAAATCTGTACGCCAGTTGCATGACAACTGTAAGGTATAAGTGTTCTAAATGAAATGGTAATGAAAAATACCTTTTCATGGATTAAGCATTGAGAAAAGACTCAAACCCCTGATAAAGCATATCACACACATCACAAAGTCACACTAAGCATGGGTTGTTATGTTTTGTGTAAGTTTCTAAAATTAGGAACAGCTCTTAGACATGGGCCTATATGTCTCCTTGGCAACATCATAACCACACCAGTTTTTCTTACACCATGCAAGAAAAAAGATGACCAGAAATCTCCAAAGCTTCTTCTCTGAACAACAAAAATGTTTATTGAAACAATGAACCAATGAGCAAACAACATCAATTCATCCCAGAAACCATTCTCTCCCGTCAACAGAGGACTTCAGTGATGTAATCAACTTGAATCACTGGTCTGCTGCACAAAACTCATGGCACCCCTGGAGTGGCCTAGCCAGTCTCCAGATCTCAACCCCATAGAAAATCTTTGGAGGGGGTTGAAAATCTGTGTTGCCCAGCGACAGCCCCAAAACATTACTGCTCTTGAGGAATGGGCCAAAATACCAGCAACCGTGTGTGAAAACCTTGTGAAGACTTACAGAAAATGTTTGACCTCTGTCATTGCCAACAAAGTGTATATAACAAAGTATTGAGATGAAATTTTGTTATTGACCAAATACTTATTTTCCACCTTAATTTGCAAATAAATTCTTTAAAAATCCTACAATGTGATTTTCTGGATTTTTTTTTCTCATTTTGTCTCTCATAGTTGAGGTATACCTATGATGAAAATTACAGGCCTCTCTCATCTTTTTAAGTGGGAGAACTTGCACAATTGGTGGCTGACTAAATACTTTTTTGCCCCACTGTATATGAGGTCTACTGCTAAGAAGGATAGATCCTGCGGCATGGGGTGGATATACTGTATATACAAATGCATAGATGCATCCTGGTCCAGGTTTTTGCTGATCTGGCTCATGGGCACCGGTTAATTCATGATCACTACTGTATATGATAGAAGTGCTCAATGAGGATGCCTAAGTCCAGATCTGCATCCAAACACCTGCTATTCTCCTTTTCCTGTCTTCATAATAACTCACAGTTAAAAACACATTGCGCTGTCATGTGTTTCAGTTGTCTCTGAATTCTCTGCAAGATCTTCTGATGCAAGGAGGCCCAGATGATAGACTAATAAAACACTGGTGCTGCATTGCCAGGATTTATGAAGCTCTTCAACTACACAGCGAAAATTACAAACTTATAAATAATGCTTAGATTATGGTGCATGTTATTAAAGTGACAAATAATCATTCATTATAAAAGGCAGATGCGGATGCGCCGCATCCTGACACTCAAGACATCCTGATGGCTTACAGCCACTGAGCCTGAGCCATTGAATAATTGTATGTCAGTAACATTATTATTATTATGTATAAACTATGTAACAGCTGTAATCAGATCAATGACTATAAAAATGAGAAGGTTTTGAGTGAATTACCTATACACAGGTTCCAGCCTTTGTCTGCGATGCTGTCGCTGTTGCTCTTTCTTTTCGGTCTCTTTGTGTATAAGTCTTATTTGTGGCCGTAATGCATATTATTTCATTTTAACATGTCATTTAAAGGTTTGGCATTGAATGAAATCCCTCAATCTGCTCTGTAATGTTGTCCAGTTACCGCAAGTGTAAAATGAAGATGGACCGATCCATTGCTGGAATAGGGGCGCATGGACTGCATAGTGTTTACACAGTACTAATAACACTATATAATTAAACCACAATTTGTCAATTGGTATTTCCTATAGATTCTATAAAATTAATGTTTATTTCTAAACGGTAGATTAATAGGCGTGTGGTCAGTGACCATAATTACCATTAAAATTGTGAGTGGCCATAATTACCCACTCTGAAATAAATGGAATCTTCCGGAGCGCACGGACTCATAGCAACAAACCAATGTTTCCATCCGGGTTCTTATTCCGATGACTAATAATAAGAGGCTACTAATAAATCTTATATATTTCCTATTTCTAAAGTAATAAATAATCATATTTTCTTCTTTTCGATGTTATTTTATGAACATAACACTGAAACCTATTTAAACCCCAATTTCAAACATGTGTAGGTCTATAGATCCCAACTACAAGAACTAAAATCACAGTTGGCCTACAATAAATACACTTTACTTTATACATTGTTTTTTTATATATATATTTAAACTTTAATACTAAACAAATATCGATGCAATGGTAGTGTCAATTTGTCGTAGCATCTGTTTAAAATATACAATTTAATCAAGTCAATTTGAATAAGTTGGCCAATAAATATATATGCCTAGATGTTTTGCTAAAATACAGTACTAAGAATTTCTAAGTTTCATCACTGATGTTTATTTCGTCTGTTCTCCGCTTGATAGCGCCACACATTAACACATTACGGCCTTCTCAATTGTTTTCTAGGTTTCGTTTGCTTTGTTTGTGTGCAGGCTTGTTTTTATTAGGCTATTCTCTGGAGTAAGTCATAGTAAATTCATATGCTAAGGGGAAAAAAACCATTACATTAATAATTACATAAATGGTTTTATAGAGCGCATGACACAACAGCAACAGCAATAAAATAAAAAAAAAATGAAATAGCCAGACACGTTTGATTTATATTTTAACTGATTACATTGCCATTTTATTTATTTTTTTAAATTATGTACATCATAGTCTCATCAAATGACATAATCAATATCTTAAAATGTAACTTTGTATTTTCGAGAATAAGTAAAACATTCCTACAAGGTAGTATTCACAGGTTATCTCTCAGTGAGAATCAATACATTCTTCCTGTGATGGCCTTTGGAACTTCAGAGTGTCTTTTTGTTTTTCTCCACTGTTTTGGGTGTTGAGCAAAGGGCCTGATGTGTTTACTTCTTCACTAACACAGAATACTCTAACAGAAAGTATAACTAGCTCAGTTGGTGGTATGACAAAAACTTGTTTGTCAACCCAAGCCTCTCAAACAGGAAATGACTATTACTTCTGTGCTACCGAGACTTTAGTTGAAGAGCATTTGTGGTTATCAACAATTGAGAGTTTCCTTCAGTGTGAGCAGTGCATGTGATGGCCCAGACAAAAGATCCAAACTTTGGGCAGTCATCAGGCACTAACTCTGCCCTTCAGAGGCTGGACACGTTAGCTAGCCGATTTTTTTACAAATATCGAAAAGGGCACCAGGAGAAGGGACTAGAGAATGAGGGGCCACATGTTTCAGATTATACCGTGCTTTGGGATGCAACAAGTAAGTCAAAGCCTTTTAAGTGAAATATTTTAAAATACTTCATTATTTCTATTAAATGCACAAAAGGTCTGTTTTCTTCAAATGATTGACTCTTGATCTAAATAAACTCATTTCATATACTGTAGAGAGTCTCTGATGAATTTTCACAACCTCTATTGAAGGATATGATGTAGGTTTTTTATTGTAATTAGCTGAAGGGTGCAGAGTAAAATGTGTTAGCCTTTTTCTAAGTGCATATACAGTATATTTCTGTACACTTTGATTGGTGTCAGACTTTTTGTGGTTTCGACAGGAAGAGATCAGTTTGCTTTTCTCAGCCAGCAAAACTTAAAGCGCACTAAACCTGTTTACCGTTTTACAACATCACGTTTCCAATACATAAAGTATAATCTTTCCTTTTAGTTAATGGCAGACCTGATAATACTAGGTTGCCGTGCTAGGCTAAAATGTAAATGTAACCAAATTGTTACTGATAATACATCCACTGACAAACGTATGCAAGTCAAATCTCATGTTCAGGTAAACCTCATTCAGACAGATATCATAAAAATGATGTCTATATAATGTTATATTATTACAATGTTTGTTGTAGCTGGTTTTGTGAAAACAGTGCTATTTATCTAGTAAAGCTGTCAAGTGGAGAGATAATATTCTAGAACAGTTTTTTTTATGCAGTGTATAATTTTTGTAGTGCAATGTTGTCTCGCTGTCCTTTCTCAATCTGCTATTAATTTGTTAATAAATGTCAGAAGAAACTGCTGTATTGATCAGCATGAGTATCACGTAGTTAAAACACATTTGTGTGCATTTTAAAGTAATTTCAGGAGTCTCCATAAAAGCAAGATAAATCCAAAAGAAAGTAATTGCTGATGTGTGGCTAATAGTCAGCTGGCCGTTGTAGATCTACATTAAATGATAATCAAAAGATGGCAGTGTTGTCCTTTTAATTAGCATTTTATGTCTGGCTTTGACATAATATTCTAGAACAGTTTTTTTTATGCAGTGTATAATTTTTGTAGTGCAATGTTGTCTCGCTGTCCTTTCTCAATCTGCTATTAATTTGTTAATAAATGTCAGAAGAAACTGCTGTATTGATCAGCATGAGTATCACGTAGTTAAAACACATTTGTGTGCATTTTAAAGTAATTTCAGGAGTCTCCATAAAAGCAAGATAAATCCAAAAGAAAGTAATTGCTGATGTGTGGCTAATAGTCAGCTGGCCGTTGTAGATCTACATTAAATGATAATCAAAAGATGGCAGTGTTGTATTTTAATTAGCATTTTATGTCTGGCATTGATTGACCAACCAGATTAAAAGACAAATGAGTTGATTAGTCACTAGCAGCATCTTTGTTGCTGCCTAAATGAAATGGCAAGACCTCGAACAAGCAGAAATCATCCACATTTTATAACACATCCCGTGTTTTTTGTTTTGTATTTTGCACTTTTTAAAAATAAGTTTCAGTTTGCATAGTGGTTTCACATGTTGAAAATGCGTTTTCATAACACAAAACTCAACTCAAATGCTCCATAGCAGAAACCTATGCAACTTGATATCTTTCAGTTCACTATAGTACACACTTGCTTAAATATTTGCATTTTTTTATTATGTCTAACATATGGTGTTGGCAGAAAGATAAAGGAGAGTGACTCCACTGACATTTAAAATCGGCACCTTTTTAATCTTGTTCAAAAACATATAATAACATTTCAATCCCGTTCAATGTAGTTCCCATGATCAGAACTAGAAATCCCAGGGGATGCTAACAGAATGATTCATATCGACCAACTTCAATGCATTAAATAAGCTGTGTGTTACGAATTTAAATGGATTCAAATTCATATAAGTTGAAAATGTTTAAGGATTATGTTCTGTTCCAAATAAAGGAATTTATTGTTTATCTGAGAATCATGCATTGAGCTATCCTTTGGCAGTTGATCATTTTAATTGTGTTATCTCTTTAATTAGTGAAAGAATTCTTTGCACAAGCCAAAGAGGATTTCTTGAGAAAATGGGACTTTCAGCCACAGGTATGGGAGCATTATTGCAATAAACAGGAAAGTCAGATACAGTTGTTTTCAGCAGAACTAATCGTTGACTTCTGGCTTGGGTTCTGCAGAGCACATCGTGTCTAGATGACTTTGACAGATTGAAAACTCTTGGCACTGGATCTTTCGGAAGAGTAATGCTTGTCAAGCACAGACTGTTGGGACGATACTACGCTATGAAGATTCTGGACAAAGAAAAAGTGAGTATGCGTGCTATTCACTCCCCCCACCTACAATCCCTGCCAGTACGAGACTTGTGGGTTCTCGTGTACAGCACTCTCTCCCACCTTCAATACCACGACTGAGGTGTCCTTGAGCAAGGCACCGAACCCCCAACTGCTCCCCGGGCGCCGCAGCATAAATGGCTGCCCACTGCTCCGGGTGTGTGTTCACGGTGTGTGTGTTCACTGCTGTGTGTGTGTGCACTTTGGATGGGATAAACGCAGAGCACTAATTCTGAGTATGGGTCACCATCCTTGGCCACATGTCACGTCACTTTTTATCGTCACGTCACCTCCTGCAGGACCCAGCCATCTGGACAAAGAAAAAGTGAGTATGCGTGCTATTCACTCCCCCCACCTACAATCCCTGCCAGTACGAGACTTGTGGGTTCTCGTGTACAGCACTCTCTCCCACCTTCAATACCACGACTGAGGTGTCCTTGAGCAAGGCACCGAACCCCCAACTGCTCCCCGGGCGCCGCAGCATAAATGGCTGCCCACTGCTCCGGGTGTGTGTTCACGGTGTGTGTGTTCACTGCTGTGTGTGTGTGCACTTTGGATGGGATAAACGCAGAGCACTAATTCTGAGTATGGGTCACCATACTTGGCCACATGTCACGTCACTTTTTATATATCCTCCTGCAGGACCCAGCCATTTTATTTATTTATTTATTTATTTGTTCTCTGTGCAAGACATTTGTTTTTGTGAATTTCTATGAGACATACCATTCTTTAACACAGTCCTGGTGTCTCTTAATGAGTCTTCATCCTGGGTCTTTCTTAAAAATGCAGAATGTATATTATTTTGAAACTGTTTATTTTCAATTTTTCCAAAAAAAGAGTATGTTTTTACGATAAAGATATTTATTCAGTGCATCACTGTAAAAATAAATAAATGAATATAGTTAGTTAGTTAGTTTACTCAACTTATGGAAAAAATAGTTTGATCACCATAACCATTAAGGGTGTTCTGTAATTTCAGAGAACATAATAAGCTATAATAAGTTCCATAAACTCAAAAGTAAGTGATTTAAGATCCGTTCACACTCTGTTTATTATGAGCGAGTTTATTATCCGCTGTTTTTGTGTTGTCTGCTGCTTTAAAGGCTCGAG